AATTTGATTTCAGTAATTTTTGAGGTGAGGAAACAATTTGGATTTTTGAGAGTTGAAACAGAAAGGGACAGATTAGATAACAGAACCACAGAAGAACCTCAAAAGGCTTTTAAAAATGTTATTGTCTTCATTGCAGTTGGTTGGTTAATTAGTTAAGAAATAGTTGAGTTGCCGCTATGACTTTAATAATGTCTTGATTTTATTTTCCTCTCTACTTCTCATTCAACAAAAAATGAGAGATTTAAAACATTTAGCATATAATAGCAGTTGAAAATTAAAGAAAATTTTTAGAGTTCTTTTGTGGTTTGGAAAACTTTTAGTAATGCTTTTTATGTTACATGGCATTTTAATATATCAGTTTAGCTATAACTTTGGAAACTAAAATTTTAACTTTTTGCTCTGGAAGGAGCAGTATCATTTCTTTCCAGAAATTCTGGTGCGTAACTTGATGATTTGACACTAGAAATAATGGGACAAGAAAAACAGCCTGGTTTGACAGAGAGGCCCATTTTAACTTTTGTTGGTATTCACTAGGGTTTCTCACATAAGTACATGTGATAACTTTTAAAATGTCCAATACTGGAAAAAGCAGTTTTGAGAGCTTTAAAGTGTTAGCTCTCACTTAAATATCCTGAAATATCCTCCTGAGATGGCTTGCTAATTCCTAGAGTAGTTCCCTGCCTCACACTCTGTCAATTTGGGAAATTAAAAAAAAAAAAAAAATCCATCCTGACAACACAGCCCATAAAATTTTCTCTTTATATCACTCTTCAATACCCTCTCTGCCTTGTGAGGCCGGATTCTTCATTGCTCCAACTCCTGTTATATGACACTGGTCCTCCAAAAGGCCTCCTGCCTCCAGCTCTACCTCTACCCCTCATTCCTGCAGTCAGAGAAATCTTTTCTGAACCTTAATCTCATTTCTCAGCTGAAAATATTTTGATAGTTCTCCTGACAGGCAGCATAATAGTATTTCTCAAAACAGTATCTGAGAACTTCTAGAAAAAATTTAAATGTTATCCTTTTTCATAATGATAAATTAACAAGCACACCCTGGTTCCCCAGAATGGATACCTTATAACTGTGCAAAATACTAGAAATACTAATATTCGTGCCTGCCTGTCCATGCTGCATCTTTTTTTTTTTTTTTTTTCTTTCCTTGAGACGGATTCTCACTCTATTGCCTAGGCTGGATTGCAATGGCGCGATCTCGGCTCACTGCAACCTCCGCCTCCTGGGTTCAAGTGATTCTCCTGCCTCAGCCTCCTGAGTAGCTGGGGTTACAGGCATGCGCCACTGCACCTAACTAATTTTCGTGTATATATATTTTTAAGTAGAGATGGGGTTTTGCCAGGTTGATCAGGCTGATCTTGAACTCCTGACCTCAGGTGATCCTCCCACCTTGGCCTCCCAAAGTGCTGGGATTACAGTCATGAACTATTGTGCCCAGCCATTTTTTCTTTTTCTCCTTCCTTCCTTCCTTCCTTCCTTCCTTCCTTCCTTCCTTCCTTCCTTCTTTCTGAGACAGGGTCTCATTCTGTCATTCAGGCTGAAGTGCAGCAGTGCAATCTTGGCTCACTGCAACTTCTGTCTTTTGGGCTCAAGCGATTCTCCCACCTCAGCCTCCCGAGTAGCTGCGAATACAGGCACATGCCACCATGCCCGGCTAATTTTTGTATTTTTTGGTTGATACAGGGTTTTGTCATGATGTCTAAGCTGGTCTCGAACTCCTGGGCTCAAGTGATCATCCTCCCGCCTTGGCCTCCAAAGTGCTGGGATTAAAGATATGAGCCACTCACACCTGGCTACATCTTGTTTTTTTCTGATGAAACATTTGTTTCTTAAAGTGATCCAGGACACATAGCTCTGTTCTCAGAGGCATTTTCCTTTTGAGGAGATCCAGATATTACTTACTTGTGAGAAACAGTGGCTAACAGGGCAAGATCCAAATACTTGAATGTGTAAGAAGAGCCCTCTGAGATCTGCCTTGCCCATTCTTTGTACCTGCACTCCAGCCCCTGAGTGACAAGCAGCCCCTGGATAAGCTAGGCCACATCAAGCGTTTGCCTTCTCTGTCTTAAGCTGGGCTTTGTCAATGATCTTTCCCTTTCTTCACTCCACCCGCCCTGAACACATACTTCTCTGTAGACTCTTCTTTTCTGACGACTCCATCCCCAGGTACAAGGTAAACTCCCATCTCTCCCATCTTGGCTATAGTTAATTTTCACACAGGGAATTGTGTCACTACAAAACTAAGCCCAAAATTTGGTGGCGTAAAACAAGAGTTATCAGCCAGTTTCAGTGGGTCAGGAATCTGGGTGAGCCTTAGCTGGGTACTATGGCTCTGCATCTCTCATAGTGGACAGTGCTTTCTAGTAACTCACATGGTTGTTGGACTGAGGTCTCTGTTCCTCACCACCTGTTGACCAGGAGCCTCCCTTTGTTCCTGAACTCACAACATGACAGCTTGCTTCACCAGAGCAAGCAAGCAGGACGGCAAGACAGAATACTGGAAAGAGAGAGAGAGCATTTCCCAGTCTTTAATGACCTAATTATAGTAGTGGCAGGTCACCTGTTCATTAGAAGACGAGTGCTAGTCTAGCCCACACTCCAGGGCAGAGGGTGACATACTAGGCAGTTGGGATTACTGGAGACTGTCTAAGTAGTCTGTCTACCATAGCCTGTAGGACACCTTACCGTAGGTGTCCCTAAGGATAGGCCCAGGTGAGGAAGCTGTGGGCCGTGGGGGAGGCTACTTGTCCTCTCTCAACCTTGCTTCCCTGCCTCGCCTGGTGTGGGCATCTTGATGCCATGACAGTGATTCCAGGGTTTAAAGAGAGGTATATTTTAAATAATCTGGCTCTTAAATATCATTTGAAAGTCAACTCCCTCGTCTGATCTTCAGCTGAAGAAAAAATGGTCTATTTTAGTGCTAGAAGAAGAACTCTGTGTTGGACTTACTAAGAAAAGGTGATATAGCTCACTGAGAGAGTGCATTCTTAAGAGATTTGCAAATTTCATTTTTCTGGGTTTATATCCTGAATTTACCTTCTAACCTGGAGTATGATGAGAATCTTCTGGATTTTCAAACTTGGCCTCTATTAAACTGCTGCACTTTGTTTACTTGCTTTTCTTTGAGCAGGGAGCTACCTGACAGCCTAGTCCATGCCTAATTAACTTCTAATATCAGGATTTTGGCTCTCAATATTCTTAAAAATATGTACTAATATTTTTCTGTGTTTTTAGTATATTCAGTACTAAATTTGCTAGGCATTGCTAGGGTTTTAATAGTTGAGAATTTTACAGCTCTTTCTCTGGCATATATACTTAAAAGGAGCGACCTGGGGCTGTGATACCTGTAATTTTTTTGTTATTTTCTAGGTAGTTAAGGCATTAACAGTTTTTGCCCTTGAATCAAAGTTCTCTACTTTTCTCTCCATACCTTCTAAATATTTTGTCCTTTTGAGTCAAGGGAATTGCCCTGATTTTATGATGACATTTGGGTACGATATTTAAACTGTTAAAAGTTATAAAAACGACCCTTTGGTATTAAATGTAATAAGTGGCTTTGAATTGAATACATGTGCAGGTTCTCCTAAATGAACTTTGTGAGTCCAAACTGCTCTAGTTACGTATTCTTTGTAATTGGATTCTATGACATTCTCTCATCCTCCAAGAGTCTTCCAGGCCATGAAAATTCCTCATGGCTTGGTGTCGATGTATACTTTGGGTCTTTTGGGGTACTGACTTTCATCTCTCAACTCCTGTGTGACACTTGTAGTGCTGATGGTCATCTCCACTCTTGAAAAGGCATGGTGTCTCTGCAGCAAAACAGAACTACTTACCCCTAAGAGATCTATAACAGCCCTCAAGTAAAGGGGGAATGGGCAACTGCTAGAACTGAGCTACCTTTGCTCAGCCTTTCCTTATCAAGAATATGTTCTTTTTCTTCTTTTCTTTTTGTTTTTTTTCTTTTTTTTTTTTCTGAGATGGAGTCTCACCCTGTCACCCAGGCTGGAGTGCAGTGGCACGATCTTGGCTCACTGTAACCTCTGCCTCCTGGGTTCAAGTGATTCTCCTGCCTTAGCCTCCCGAGTAGCTGGGATTGCAAGCACAAGCCCACCATGCCCAGCTAATTTTTAGTATTTTTAGTAGAGACAGGGTTTTTACCATGTTGGCCAGGTTGGTCTTGAACTCCTGACCTCAAGTGATCTGCCCGCCTCAGCCTCTCAAAGTGCTGGGATTACAGGCATGAGCCATCACGCCTGGCAAGAATATATTTTTTACTCATGGTTACTCTGCACTGCGTTCATTTTTACTGGCTTGTATTTCTTTGTAATTCTAAAATATTGTCATGTTCAAAGGTTTTAAATTAGACTATAAACACCTCAATATCAGAACTTATTCTTTCTTTATTTCTTTTGTTTTTTCATTCTTTTCTTTTGTTCTTTCTTTGTTTTGATATCTTGGATCTCTTTCCCCATTGTATATCTACCATAATACCATTCCAGACACATTTCTCAACAGAAGTCAACACATAGAAGGAAGTCTTGTCTAGATTTATTCATGATGCGTGCATTAGAGTAGATCAGAGATGAGGGGCTGCGACAGGTCTGGACTCTTGTAGTGAGAGATGAATGATTAGAAGGCTTTGCAACAGCATTCAGTTAACTCTACATGGGTAGAGTTGGGTGCTGGTCTCTCTTTTAACCTTCTAAGTGCACCAGAGTATGTTATTGCCATGAAATTGCACTGTAATATTTTCTAGTTGTGATTCATTCACAGCTTAATATGCTTCTAGTTCTGGCTTGACTTTTCCCCCAGGAAGAGCCTAAAATCTCTTCATTATAATATAGACAGTGTACTGCACTTTGAATACAAATTTATCCATGTTCGGAGTAATTTTTCTTGTGATTGTCTCTACCCTGGAGAAGTGCCTTTAATGAATTACATACAAATTGTGTAATTTAAGAAGTTAATTTGGTTTTCTGGTTACACAGGACTAAAAACAGCCCTTGTAGAAAGAGATGATTTCTCATCAGGGACCAGCAGCAGAAGCACTAAATTGATCCATGGTGGTGTGAGATATCTTCAGAAGGCCATCATGAAGTTGGATATTGAGCAGGTAATTGTGTATGCTGGTTGTTAAACAAAAATTGCAACTATGCTTTTTTCTACCCAATTAAATCAGGTTTTTTTTTTGTTTTTTTTTGTTTTTTTAAATGGCTTTTAGCATTTCTTCCTGTTGGAAATACCTATTTAGTGTATTCTGCTGGAATATCTTTCAGGAGAGGTGTGTCAATTCTTTCCTGTAGTATTATGTTTATGGGTAATCAGGGGCTTTTTCTTCACAGGCATGTTGAAGTAGCAGATTTACAAAATCACTTTTGGATGTGTTGCCTTTTAAACAATTGTGATTGGATTTTTGCCAGTGGCTACCAAATTGCTACTTTGCAAGCACTTTCAGGGGAGCTATGTTGTAATGCAGGGGGAGTGCGAAATCGATCCTCTTAACTACAACTGCAGTCATACGCTCATATTGTCACTGACATATTCTGAAGGAAAAGATGATCTGAGTCATGCTTTTCTTATGTCACACTTTATTGTGTCCAGCCTGCCACCATTTGAAAACTGCCAAGGCAGTGTGGAAGATGACATTTCCCAGAGGGGTAAAAAAAAATCAGCTGAACTTCCTATCTCTTTTTGTACGTGAAAAACACAGCAGCACTGGCTTGACATTGTCAAGTTTTGAATCTGTCTCGTTTTTTTTCTTGATAAGTCAGTTTTGAATCTGTCCCCTTTTCTTATATTCTCTTTGCATCATGATGGATGCAATGAAAACAGCATAGGATTTAGAATCAGCTAACTTGTGATGTGTTCAGGCTTATTTACTCAAAATCTATGAGTCTGTTATCTTATTTGTAAAATTAGTGTTATAATAGCATTGCTGGCTTTTTAGAGAGGCATAATGAGGACTACAGCAGTTAAGACAAAGCCTTTTTATAATCTGTAAAATACTGTGCAACTGTTAAGTAGCATCATTGCTTGGTTTCATGAAGGCAAGACAGAAACTTTTAGCATGAACTTGAACAATCTGTTATCTCCTCCACAGAAAAAATAATATGGGGAACTGAGAAAGGGAGACAATCCAGAGGATGCAAGATAAATGGCTACAATAATCTTGTGACTCAAGTCAGGAAAATATCTTACACCTGGGAACTCTGACAGCATGTTTTTCTCCTATGCAAATACAGTTAAGGTTTCTAAAAAATCTTTGAGGTTGACAGCATGATGTATTATTAGAAATTTGATTAGGAGGGAACTATCCTCACTCAGAGGTAGAGGTTTCTGTGTATCAATCAGTTGGCAGGGTGTCTATTTGCCATTTGAAAATATTATGATCTGTTACTGCCAAACTAATTTTCTCTGTTTTGCCTTTCAGTATAGGATGGTAAAAGAAGCCCTTCATGAGCGTGCCAACCTGCTAGAAATTGCTCCCCATTTATCAGCTCCATTGCCTATAATGCTTCCAGTTTACAAGTAAGCCTTTTGATATCACGTGTATGCATTTGCTTCTCTGCGGTCAGTAGAACAACAGTTTTAATGGAAATAATCCCTCAATGCATATTTCATAATTTGGTTTTAATTGGTCCTGATCTTTAATCCTTTTCAAGTATTTTCCTTTGTTGTATTTAAAAGTATGGCTTTTCTTAAATTGCTCTCTACTGGCCTATCTCTAGATTTTAAAGGCAAAGGAGGTCGTGTTCTGTATTTGTAATTAGTAGTTTCTTCCTCCAGTTTCTGAGAGTATATAGATGAGCAACTGCATTTGCATTAGGGAACATAAGAGGATCATGTGCAGACTGTAAATGGCTCTGCTAAAGTATCCTGTTGTAAATGTAAACATACCATATACCCACTTAAAACTGAAGCCATTTTGAGTCATGTTACGTGTCTGAGTTAACCAAGGCTGAAATTTGGTTAGGAAGGGTCAGATTATAAATTATAAAACTTAATTTTCCTAATGTTGTTAGAGCTATCCATGAAGTTGCCTTCCATTGGAATTCAGGTAGTATGAAAAAGTAGATTATGTAACTCTGTTAACCACATTCGTGTTGTAGGGGGCTGGAAACAGATTTTTTATAACTTTGTTCATCCTTCCTCATAGATCGCTTAGAACTTCCTGAACCAGTGTTTCTTAATCCTGGGTGCACATTGTCATCATCCAGGCCCCCACCCTAGTCTAGTTAAATCAATTTCTGGATGTATGAGGTTTAGGCATCAGTATTTATTTTTAAAGTTCCCCAGAGAATTCTAATATTCAGCCAGGTTGAGAACAACTGCCTCAGAGAAGATTCATTTAAGAATCTCATTGATTTATTTTACTTACAGACTTCAGCTAGATTGGTGTCAAAAACAGTTGCATAAGTCTGTTTCTTTTGCAGTCCACTTCTAGGTATGCTTTGTTTTTCTTAAATGAAAGGTGTCTTGTACTGTAAGGTAATGTTCTATAATGCTATACTCTGTTTCTAAAGAACTTTCCCCTCTATTTATGCTGTAGGTGGTGGCAGTTACCTTACTACTGGGTAGGAATCAAGCTGTATGATTTGGTTGCAGGAAGCAATTGCCTGAAAAGCAGTTATGTCCTCAGCAAATCAAGAGCCCTTGAACATTTCCCAATGCTCCAGAAGGACAAACTGGTAGGAGCAATTGTCTACTATGACGGTATGTGATATTTTTTTTCCTCACAGATACTTTTCTTTCACTCATGACCCTTATAGTATATTCTTAAGGAGATAATTTTGCATCTTTAAATACTAATCTTACACAACACACAAACGCACTTGCATGCACATATTAACCATTTTCTCTAACAGTGGCTGAAAAACTAACCATGATGTTTTACCTTTAATATTGTTTATTTTACATATTTGTTTTCTTCTTTGATTTCTACTTTGTGTCTCATGGTTGGTTTGGTCCATTTCTCATCATTATGAATTTGGTCTCCACCCTCATGCCATGTAATTTGTTATGTGTTTGCTAGTGAATATTTGCCTTATGAATATATTATAATGTTGAAAGCAGCTGAGGATATGTTAGGTTTTCTAGATGAAACCTCTATTTTCAAGGGGTTATAAACCTAGGGGGAAAAATGCCCTGTGGGCTGAAATTGACATGTTTGTATTTTGCACAGGACATAGTTCTTGAATGTATAATTTATATGATGAAGGTAGATGAACATTGCATCTGTGAAACTGTGCTCTCAGTTTTTATTGCTTATTTTATTGTTGTTAGATGTTTTCTAATAGTGACGTTACCTAGTGGCCATTTGCCATGTGTTCAATGTTCATTCTATTTTTTTTTTTTTTGCATGTGTGCAATATAATTTTGTACATTTTATTTGAAGGAGCACTTAATATATCTCCAGATGGACCACAAAACAATGTAAAACAAAACAGGCAAAGCCATTTGTAAAATTTTACTAGTAGTTTTAAAGTGTGTGAGATTGGAATGTAGTCCAAGGGTGTCCATTTATAAGGAAATAGCTGAACACAGATAATTATACATGTTCAAAAAGTCCTAAAAATTTTGTGATGCAGAGGACAGCTTAGATTCTATATCTCAGTGAGCCCCCAACACCCATTATATTATCTTTTCTATTTAGTATTAGATATCTAAACTCCTAGTAAGAAGAATTTGTTGTTGTTGTTTTATTTTTTTCAGGATATTTTGATATTTATACTGAATACTATGGGATGTCCCAAAGGCTATCCCTGTGTTTTTTTCTTCTTTCCAGTGTTACATTTCTGAACCAATTCAGCTGTCAGGCTTTCATATATAAATGCAAAAAGTATATGTGAACCAAACTCAAGAAAATGTCCTAGGAACAACAATATTAGAAAAATGTTAAGGGTCTTAGGCAAACATTAAAAGCTAGAAAATTCACAGTTTGCAGTGCTTCCCAGCATCTGAACACCACAGGGGGGCCACTTAACTATTTTTTTGGTGCCCTTGATTGAGTCTACATGTTAAAGGACAACCTTAACTGTGAATTTGCTTTCTCTGCATCAGACCCTTAATGTTAACCCATTGTAGTTTATTGGGTGATTATAGTAAAGAGGTTTTTGGTCCAGGAGGAGTAAGAAGGCATTCTGTAAATAGCATCCTGCCCATCCTGACATGGAAATGTTTGTGGCCTTTCCATCTTATTACTAATCCCTCCCGCACAAACCCTCTCACATACTTACTCATTTTCTATGCTTTGTGATCTATTGGGTACTAACAAATTTTATTTATAAGCTTGTCAATATCTGAATCTTTTAAAAATAAATATTAGTGGGCTGGGCATGTTGGCTCATGCCTGTAATCTTAGCACTTTAGGAGGCCAAGGCAGCCAGATCACTTGAGCCCAGTTTGAGACCGACATGGTGAATCCTCATCTCTACTAAAAATACAAAAAATTAGCCAGGTGTGGTGGCATGCACTTATAGTCCCAGCTACTTGGGGGACTGAGGTGGCCAGAGTGAGCTGAGATTCCGCCATTACACTCCAGCCTGGGTGACAGCATGAGACCCTATTTCAAAAAAGAAAAAAGAAGAAAAGAAATATTAGCGAATGTCATGTCTGAATTTGTGACATCCTGTTTTACATTGGTTTGGTATTGTTGTGAATTGTAAATTCTTATTGATTCTACATGAAGAAGCCAAGGGAAATCTTTGTTACACAAGGCAGAAGAAACATTATTCTCTTAGAATCATGAGGAAAAAGAATCTTTTAATCTAGAATTGATCTTTATAGCCTGTTATAGATTGCAATTATGAGCTTAGCAAAAATTTCTGAAAAATTTAAAAAGTATTTAAAATATTTTCAAATTGCTCTTTGGAAATCGGTTGTAAAATCATTAAGTCTTGAGCCAAAGGAGTAAAAATAATTATATTCTACTCATTTGATATAAATAATTTGTCTTTTTACCTTGTTCTAAAATGGTACAGGCCTAACTATATTATACTTGAGGTGAGGCAAAACAAGCATGTGCAACAGTGTAGTTCTGTGGTTTTACAACATGTTTACATGTGGGGCAACTCTTGTTTTATCTAATATGGTATGATGATCAAATTGAATATTGACGTGGAAATAAGATGACGAGGAGCATGTAGGTAAAAGAATTAAATGAGTAAATCCATGCTCAACAAAAGGAATGAATGCCTTTTTTCCCTTTGACTGGAAAAACGTTATTACAGTATCATCCTGCTACTAAAGTATTTCAGAGAGAAAAATATTTCAATGTGAAGTTTTATCATTGCAAACCCAAGTCTAAACATTGTAGTTTATAAGATAAGCATTTCTTAACAAGGAAAATACATACTCTTCTTGATAAATCACCATGATGAGAATATAACAACAGCCACCGAAGTGATTTCAAGTTGCATTCAGGCTTCTTGAAATAATGTTGAATTTACTTTAAAAATAATGTATTGAGGTGAAATTCAATAAAATTCAATTAAAATTAGCCATTTTAAAGCGAACAGAAATAATTTTTGTAACTCCCACCAAGGGAGAATTTTAAATCTGATGAAAAAGTGGCATAAGTAATCAAATGAACTTTTAATTTTAATTAAGTTTTTTGAGACAGAGTCTTGCCCTGTCACCCAGGCTGGCGTACCGTAGCCTGATCATAGCTTCCTGCAGCCTCTAATCTCCAGGGCTCAAGCAATCCTCCTGCCTCAGTCTCCCAAGTAACTGGGATTATAGTTAGCATGTGCCACTATGCCTGGCTAGTTGTTTTTTACTTTTGATAGAGACAAGGTCTCGCTACATTTCCTAGGCTAGTCTTGAACTCCTGAGCTCAAGGGATTCGCCCGCCTTGGCCTCCCAAAGTGTTGAAATTATAGGCGTGAGCCACTGTGGCCAGATAATCAAATGAACTTTTAATGCTGCAAGAAGTTTTGCTAACTAAAAACTCTTATTAGTAATACCTTATACACTTACTTCAGCACCAATGAAAAGTGAAATATAATGGTGTGAAAATATAGTGGGACAAACTAGTAAACGTTTCCATTAATGTGGACCAGGCACTGAGAAGATCTGTAAGGTATCTTCAGTGCAGAGATGTTAGGGCTGTAAGATGTTTCCTCTGAAGTACGAAATATACAAAGATAAAAAATTTAATTTCTCATAAACCCAGTTCATCCTAATTAAATTTTGATGGCCACTGCATATGATGAAGGCAGAATTTGTTCTCCCACAAAAGTTCATAGAGGTAATAAGTTCCATGCACTTTTCTCTCCAACATTTTATATATATTTTTTAATTTTCATTTTTTGCAGAGACAGTCTGGTCTTGAACTCCTGGCCTCAAGTGATCCTCCCACCTTGGCCTCCCAAAGTGTTGGGATTACAGGCATGAGCCACTTCGTCTGGCCCTTCATACATTTTGATGTAGTAATTATAGTTACTGTTCTGTACATGGCGTAATTATGATCTGTGCCATATTTCATTGTTAACCACTGAAAAACAAATTCATGTGTATGGAGGAATAACTGTCATCTTTTTAAATGCAGACAGAATCTCAAACTTCTCAGTGAAATCCGTATGAAATGAAAGTTGGGATAGTAAATGACATACCAGTTTTTCCTCCAGTTGTATTTCCTTCTTATAGTCTGTTAGAGTAATCATATAGTCAGCTCACTGGTTTTCTGACTGAGACATGTCCTAGTATTTTCTAACTTGCCTAGGAGAAACCCACAGCTGGCCGTTACTGCTGATAAGGGAGTTACCAAGTAGAGAGGATGGTGACCAGGCCAACTTTCTCAAGTTAGAAGAAAGTGTTTAGGGCATAGTATGCTTGGGTGACTTGACAGGCTGCGAGATTATGTGAACCAGCTGTTAGGGGTAGTCAGTTTTCTCAGGGACTTATTTTTTTTCTCCTCTATTTGTTCCCATAGTGGATCTTTGTGGCTACTCTAGTTAGACTCCAGTCATCCAATCTAGTACACAGAAAATGAGCTATAATTAAAATTCATTAAATATTAAAAACCACTAAATACCTCCATTAAGCCATTATAAAATAAAACTGAAGAACAAAATTACAGCTTTAAATTCCTCCTTTCTGAGAGTCAAGACATTGACAGAGATGTCTGTCGTTTCATATCCGACGATGCTTCTAAGCATTCCTTATGCACATGTGAAAAGAGCAACTATAAGAAATTATATTGCCTTTTCCTAATGTAAATAAAAGTTGGTTACATCCATGTTTCAAAGGGGGAATTAAAGCCCAGGTTTCACTAGAATATTCATTTTTATTCCAACCTAAAACTCACAGCATACAAATAGATGAATTCAGCTCGTGAGAGAGCAAAGCCAATTTAATCTCTGGCTCCCCTGAGGTAAATGTAGTTCACGGTCCTGCCCCCACCCCAACCTCAGCTATAATCCCTGGCTCCTGGAGGTAAAAAATGCACTGAAGTGAGGAAAATTCTGCAGCCGGATATAATGATCCAAAATGACAGGGACAATAATGACAATGAATTTCATGTCTCCCAGTCACGAGCTGGAGATGCTTGACTAGGCTGACTTATACAATTAAATTGTTACAGGTACAGCAGGAGATGCAGTTAGCTGTATGCTTTGGGGAACGATGCCTCTGGCAAAAGGCATATTGTGGAATCCAGGCTCTTTTGTTAGGAGCCAGCTATTACTCCTCTAGGCATGCGCCTGCAATTGTAC